AGGTTTTAACAAGGTTTATAATGCAACAAAAATCAGTATTGGGGTTGGAAAGGAAGATACAAAACAATCATTCTTTACAGATGATAGCATTTTCTACTTAGAAAGCACAAAGAATCAGATATTAATTTCTGGAATTAATAGGAAATTTTAGCAAGGGTGCTAGATGTAAAGTCAATGCAAAAATCAACTTTATTTCTACCAAACAATCCAATAGAAAACTGGGTAGAACGTATGAAAGAAACAGTTGTTAGAGGAGGAAACCAAATTGCCAATAGACATGGACAACATACTCAGTTTCATCAGTAACTGGAGAAATGCAGATTAAACTGACAATGACAAGCCAATTTACATGTCTCAGATTGGCACAGATTTTGATTTGGTTATATCAAGAATAGGAAAGAATGTGCTGGTACAATTCTCATCCACTGATGAAAGGCATATTAATACTGTAGACACTTTGGAAAACAAATTGGAATTAGCTGTTATGTGTTGAGATGCACACACATTTTGACTCTGGATTTCACTCCTCAGTGTGTACCATAGAGAAACTCACATATGCATCAGCAGACAAGTAGAAGCATGTTCACATCAGTACCGTTTGTACTAGCAAACACTAGAAATAACCCCTATGTCCATCAATAAGCCCCTAGAACAGTACCCAGCACATAGCAGCACCCAATAACTCTAGGAAGAGGAGCTGCATACATACATAAACTATGAACGATTCATAAAATGGCATGTTACTTAGCCTTCTACTCAAAGTGTGGTCCAGGACCTCAAGGTTTATTCTTGCCTTCCTTCTTGCTTACTTGCAACTTCTTTTTCTTACAGTGAAGAACCTGACTTCCAACGTCCTGTGTAGGTATTTTTATTTTTACCAGAATAGTGCTTTATAATAGGTCTCATCCTGTTTCTTACTATTTTTCATTTGCACTGGTCAAGATCTGCCTATGTTGCTGTGTGTACATCTAGTCTCTTACTTCCAACTACAGCATACTATTTCATCATGTGTATCCCCCTGTCTTACTGACTTGTAACATTCTTTGCAGAAAAAAATATGTTACCACCAAAAAGAGCTTAAGCAAAGACCTCATCAACAGTCCCTAGGGAGAATCAACCTCAATGCTTTTGCAATCGCTGTTTCCTCAGCCTGGAATGCTCTTCCTCTAGCTTTTCCATGGCTATTTCTTTCCCACAATCCCTTGGATTTCAGCTCAAATGTAATCTTAGAGTTCTTTTCCCTGACCGGTTTCTATAAAAGTGTTCTCTCCTCCTTCTACCATGAAACATCCTATCACATACTCAGATACTGCTCTATTCTCTTTATGTCCTGGTCATTAGCTGCAAAATCTTATTTACTGATTTATTTACAAATGTATACTGCCAGTCTCCCTCAACTCAAATATCGGCTTCTTTTTAAATTTCATTCTTACACCATTTAATGTTCAGGATTCCATAAAATGTTGAGTTTCCAGAAAATTGGGTTAGTCTCAGGGCTGTCACATGAAGCTCCTTGGGTTGTGTGCTGCATATTTACATCATATTCTGTTGTGATTGCATAGGCTTCCAGGAAAAATTGCTAGGAGGCCTGGAGATGTGACTCTTGACTGGTCCTTCAGGAGCAACTCTCAGAGTCACATCTCCAAACCTGCCCATCTTGGAAGCCTTCTCTGCCAATCAGGAAGGTGGGGAGGGGAAGCCGCTGGATTTATTCATTGAAACTTTCATCTCAGGATCTGGAAGCTGTCACTTGCCACCACCACCGCACCTGCCTCTCAGCTCCCAGGAAACTAATGGTTGGTCACTGAGAAACTGCTACAGAAAAATCAACATCTCCATGACTACACTTGCCAGCATAAAAAAGAATGTCAATTTATTGAGGGCAAGGATTCTGTTGGCATTGTTCTCTGCTATGTTTCTAGCACCTAGAACAATTCTTGGCATTGAAGAATAATTGAATGAAAGAAAGGTAATGTTCTGGGTAATTCCAGATGACCTATGGGGAGGATATGTTTCATAACCAAGGTGAGTCAGACCAAATCAGAATATTTTACTTTCCCACTTGTCCCTTACTCAACAGAATTCGTCCCTACTCCTGGTAGTGTTAATGTTATACAGCAGGCTGTAAACAGAGGGGTATTTCTCAGAAGATAACGTGGTTCAGTCCTTAACCCTTCCTCGTCCTGATTTTGTGACCTGCCCTTAGGGCTTAGGCTATGGCAATAACTTGCAAGTAAAATCACCTGATAACTTGGAGTTTCTGTGATATTGGTGACATTATCTCCTCAGTATAAGTGAAATGCAGTCTGTAGTAAAATGATGTTTTAAAGCTACAAAAGGTCTTTTGCCAATAAATATTTTACTAATGTTTACAGAAACAACTCTCTAAACTTACAGTAGCGTTGCTTTTAACTTTATTTATTATTTGGCTATGTTGGGTCAGTTGCGGCATGCAGGATCTTTGTTGCATCATGTGGGATCTTTTGCAGGGCACAGTCTCTCTAGTTATGGCACATGGGCTCATTGTTCTGAGGCATGTGGGATCTTAGTTCCCTGACCAAGGATCGAACCTACATTCCCTGCATTTAAAGGCAGATTCTAACCACTGGACTGCCAGGGAAGTCTCTCTCCTTCACTTCTGAAGGATGTATTCACAAATATAGAATTTGGGTATACATTTATGGGTGGTAAACTGAACCACAGATTAATCTTGATCCATACCACTTCTTTCGGTATCCTTGATGCTTCAAGTTTGCCTTTTTTCCTTTGACCATGTAGGTAGGACAATTGTCTAATCAGTGTATATAAATCTGTTGGGTTTCTTAAGAAGTCACATGGATGCCATAGAGATGTTCAAGTGTGCTGAACAGGCATTTTGAGAAAGCCTTAATACTCAGATCAGCCCTCCTTGTGAAACTGGGATGGAGTCGTGGTGACTCTACCTCTTAAAGACAGGTTTGAAAGTTATGACTAAAAGGAGACATGAGGATTTTTCCACTTCTTTAAATAGTCTTGAAAACATGGTCAAGTTTGGGTTGGACTTGGTTTAGAATAAAGATGAAATGAAGCTACAAAGGGGCTTTTAAACACACCAGTAAGAAATGCCATGTATGAGGGCAGATGAAAACCTGAGTGATTTCTGTGCAGTATCCAGGGCAAACAAAGGATTAAGACAAGTGTTTAGAAATCACTATGAGGTATGAAGAAGTTTAGTACATGCCACCTTAAAATATGCCACTTCAGTTATACTGATTATTTTTAGCTGAAGTCATCTGAAAAAGGAGAAGGTGATGGCACCCCACTCCAGTACTCTTGTCTGGAAAATCCCATGGACAGAGGAGCCTGGTAGGTTGCAGTCCATGGGGTCTCGAAGAGTCGGACATGACTGAGCGACTTCACTTTCACTTTTCTGAAAAAACAACTTTTTCTTAAATCCCTTTATTTGTCTAAAGACAGATCTTCTAAAAGGAACTCAATAGTCATAAATCCCCTCCTTGGAAGTTTCAACAACCAGGAAACATTGACTCTTACCACAGGAGAACTAGAAGTCCCTCAGTCATGTCTGCCTCTCTGTGACCCCATGGACTGTAGCCTACCAGGCTCCTCCATCCATGGGATTCTCCAGGCAAGAATACCAGAGTGGGTTGCCGTTTCCCTTCTCCAGGAGATCTTCCTGACCCAGGGATTGAACCCAGGTCTCCCACATTGTAGGCAGACACTTTACCATCTGAGCGACCATGGAAGTCAAGGAGAACTAGAAGTCAACACCAAACCCAGATAACTCTGTCTCAAACTATCAAATCTCCCATCTATGCTTCTAAGGAGTCATTCATTTTTCCATAAATCATTTACTGTCTCCTAGACTGCCATATCCTCCCTCCCCTATCCTTGGCAAAGTGGCATTATAAGGTCTCAAATCTCATTGCCTTTCTGGGTATATTTTTCTTATGATGCCCATGCTGAAATAATATTAAAAATTAAGGAGTGTATATACATTTTCTGTAAATCTGCATGTTGTCAGTTTTTTTTCATTGACCTATGAAGTGTATATAGTTAAGAGAGTAGAGGGAAAGTCTTTGCTCCCCAACAGGTAAAAAGTAAGGACAATGGGGCAATTCAAGAATAGAGGAATACACAGCATCAAGCAAATATACCAGAGAGGGAAAAAATGTGCGTGTGGATTTGGTGAAACTCCATAGTGCAGAGTTACCAGGGAAAAAAACTATGAATTAAAGAAAAGTTGGGGCTTCCCTGGTAGCTCAGAATGTGGAGTCTGCCTGCAAAGCAGGAGACCTGGGTTCCATCCCAGGGTCGGGTAGATCCCCTGGAGATGGAAATGGATACCCACTCCAGTATTCTTGCCTGGAGAATTCCTTAGACAGAGGACCCTGGCGGGCTATATATTCTATGGGGTCGCAAAGAGTCGGACACGACTGAGCGACTAACACACACACACACACATACACACACAGTGGGTTGACTGCCCCGGTTTTCTGCGGAGACAGAGAGGGAAGAGGACGGTGTGAAGGGGCAGAGCGCTCCGGGTGGGCTTTCCTTGCAGAATAGCGCACTCTGCAAAAGGATCCCTGGAGGGCAGCGCTTTCCGAACCATTCAGGCCCTCCGGCTCTCTTCTTGGGAGTCCAGGAGGAGGCGGGGCTTGTCGGAAGGGCGGATCCCGGGGGTGGGTCAGAGTCGCTGGCAGCGGCTCTATGGTACCCGGCAAGGGGCGGGCCACGTTAGGGGTGGAACTGCGCTGGCTGTCGCTACAGTGTGTGCAGGCGAGGGGGCGGAGCTGTCCCTGGGCAGCTCAGGCCTGGCCTTGGATGTGGCAGAGGCGGCAGTGGGAGACCACCCCCCGAGGGGAGACCGAGGGTAGGGCGCGGCGGGGAGGAGCGGGGTGGGACGGGACTGCTGTCTGCCAGGAGCTCCAGGCATCGAGTCCACCTGACCGCCAGCTCGTGTTGCGGTCGATCCGCGGAGCCTGCGCCGGCCCGGGCCCATGGCGGCGTCGGGGGCTCTGTCTGCCGCGGCAGCAGCAGCGGCCCTGTCGGGCGTGGCAGTGCGGCTGGCGCGCTCAGCCGCGATGCGCAGCTCGTACGGTGCCTTCTGCAAGGGGCTCACGCGCACGTTGATCACCTTCTTTGACCTGGCCTGGCGTCTGCGCATGAACTTCCCCTATTTCTACATCGTGGCCTCGGTGATGCTCAACGTGCGCCTGCAGGTGCGGATCGAGTGAACGCCAGCTACCACCTCCACCCGGCCGCGATGGCAGGGGCATCGGCATGAAGGGTCATGGGGCCGTGGGCCACCGGGACATGCCAGGGAAGGGGCGGCCCAAGCCTCTAGGCCCTAGACCTCCGCGGAGGACGCAGCCACAGAGCTCCGGCTCTGGCCAGCCACGTCGCGGCCGGTGACGAACTGCACAGAAAACTAGTGAAAAGGGCCCTTTCCGTCGGACTCGAGAAAATTATCTGCGTGCAGCCGACCTGTTGCCTCACTTTGGCCGAAGGGGGCAGCAGAAGGAAGAAATTCTTCAATAGAAACATGAATGACTGACCCTGACCCAAAAGGTAGGAAGCCAGAGGTTGGACTTGCTGGCTGGAGGGAGGCGGTTGCCATGATATCTAGATGTCCAGCCCCTGGGCGGCTTGGAGGAGGAAGGGACCCGTGGAAGCCAGCCTGGAAAGCTGCCGAGCCGAGGGCAGGCAAGGCAGGGTGCACGCAGGCCCTCCGGACTCCTTTGTCATATATCCAACGTGGGGATGAGAGGTGGCTGCCTGGGCATCTCCGAGGGTCAGCCGATCACCTCGGCCCACGGCCCCGCTGGTGTCACCTGAGCACTGGGGGATGGAGGGAAATGGCCCCGGAGAGGCCCAGAGATAGCCCTAGAAGAGGGCGCATGCTGGCCCACTTGTCCTCGACCCCTCAAGAGGCAGCCTGGAAGGATGGTTGTGTTCTTGGCCCAAGCCCAGGTCTGTCTCTTTCTCAGCCCTTCACAAGACTTCCTCCTGGTGGGTCTCTGGGACTGCTCTGCCTGCTCCTGCTGTCTCTGTTGCTCCTCTCCACCCTCCAAAGCTTTGCATCAGCGGACAGGGAAGAGTGGGAAAGACGTGTTCCTCCCAGCCCTGCCCCGTCTCAGCCACGCTCCCTCCACCTCCTACCAGTGCCCTCCTGGTGCCACAGAATGTGCTGCTCCAGTCCTGGACAGCCTCCAGCAGCCCCTGTGTCCCACAGGATTTGGGAAAGTGGGGGTCTCCTTGAGTGGAGGGCAGCTGTCAGGCTGGGTTGGGAGAGCAGTTGGAGAAGAGGCTTGTAGGGTAGGCGACAGCTGGGGAGACGGGGACGTCTCTGGGTGAGGAGGCAACTCTCAAGTCCCCATGTTTTTCTTGCAGGAACTGGTGTTATAGCAGGTGAACTGCCCCTTCTGTGGTCTTGTCGAGAGAGTCAAATCCCTGCCTGGGACACCCCTGACCCTAGAGCTGCCTGGGGAGCAGCCAAGAGAAGGGCCTGACCCCCCGAGGAGAGGAAGGGCCTTCCAGGCAGAGAGTCCGAGGGGAGGGGTGGCCTGGTGATCCAGTACTGGCATGAGGAAGGAAGGATGGAGCTAGAGACACTCTGGGGGAGCTCTGTTCTCCCCACCTGCTGGGCTCTGGGAAGGGAGACATTTGCCCTTGTCACATAGATCAGAAGTGGGGGAGCTGAACCTGCCTCTGGGCCTGCATTCCCCACCTGCCCCCCAGTCTCTGGGAGACTGGCACAGTGGGGTAGGGGAGGGGAGCACAGTCTCCCAAGGGACCTAGAGAGAAAGGCCCGTGGTAGGGAAGGTGGGGTGTGTGGCAAGTCACAGGGAAGAACCGGGGGACAGTCTGAGCTGAGATGGTCACAGGAGAGATGAGTTTCAGAACCCCTTGGGGAGCAAGGCCCTCACACACGGTCAGGCCTCCCCACCCCAACCCAAGCCCCACCCAAGGCTTAAGCAGGAGTTCCTTGGTGTTGAGTGGCATAGGCCTCTCAATTTGGGTGGGGGTGTTGGCTGGCTCCTGGGGCCGAGTGTAACAGGAGGGAAGGGACACATGTGGGTGGAGTGGAGCTGAGATCCACGCATGACCCCGTGTCTCTGTCCCCAGGCTGCCCCTCCTGCTAGGATCACCCAGGAGCAGCTGCTCTGGATGGGCCTGCAGCGGTCCTGGCTGTGCTGCTGACTGGTGCACCAGGAGTGGCACTGAGGGGAGCCGGGAGAGGCCCTGGCCCTCACCCCCCATCCCAGATCCACATCTGCTCCCTCACTGATTGCTCGGGGTCCTGGTCCTCAGTTCCTGGGACTAAGAACCACAGCAGCCTGGTTGCCCCGGCACAGAGGGGCAGAGCCTCACACCATGTGCCCTCCTCAACCACCCGGGTCTCGGCTGAAGATCTCTGCCTGCCTCACCCCGAGGCCTGAGGCTGCACCCAGGCCACCACATGCCCCCCGCAGATTCCCACAGACGGAAGGGTCCTGATGGCTTCCTCCCTTGTGCCAAGTTGCCTGGAAACCCCTGGTCTTGGTGGCCCCTCCTCCACCCCAACTGTGTCCCTCCAGGACCACTTCTGGGAGACTGCCAGCCTTTGGACTGCATCCCTGGAGCTCTGGGGACAGCCTCTGAGAGACTGTGACATGGGGCTGCATGGGAGGAGAGGAGCGGAGGACCAGGGGCCTCCTTGGGGCTGATGCACAAATGTGTGCGCTTTTCAAGTTCACATCTCACCGTCTGGGTTACTGTATCCCCAGCTGTAGCCTCTTCCTGGGCCATTTTGAGAGGGTCTGCAGAGGGCACTAGGGAGGGTCTTTACTTAATATGTGTGTGCCTGTGTGTGAATGTGTGTGTGAGTGCGCATGTTGAGTGCATGTGTGAGTGTGGGGATGTGTGTGCAAGTTTACATGCACATGCGTGAGGGCTTGAGTGTGTGAGTATGTGTGTGTGGGTGTGTGAGTGTGGATGAATGTGTGGGTATGAGTGCAAATGCATGAGTGCATGGATGTCTGTGTGTGAATGTGCAGGTGTGAGAGTGTGTGTGTGGGTGTGAATACATGTGTCAGTGTGAATGCATGTGTGTGAGTGCACTAGTGTGTGAGTGCTTATACACACAGGAGTGGCTGTGCATTGCAAAAGGCGCTGAGCTGTTTAGTGGGTGTGCTCTGGGGGACGGGCATCCTGTCCTCCCCAGGCTCCCAGCTCTGTTGGAGCTGCCTGGGCCGTGGGAGGCCACTTCCCAAAGTGGAGAAAGTATGTTGGAGATTCAGGGGCCCCAGGCTCAGAGACCCATCATCATCTGCAGAGAATCCCCTCTCCCCATGGGGCTCTGACTGGGGCTGTCTGCCCCCAAAGGTATTGGCCGTGGGAGGGGCAGGGACATGTCCTCAGCATGTGTTCCTGCCACTGCTTTTCTTACCATTTTGATCTTGAGTAGTTTGCTGCTTCTGCTTTCCCGCTTCTTCCTCATCTCCTCACTGGGCCTCTGCTGCTCTCTATGCACTTTATTTATTTGCAGTCTCTTTTTCAGGCAGTGGAGGTTCTACGCCATCACCGACTTGAATAAGACAGCTTTCCCTTTTATGTGTGTGTTGAACTCTGCACCAGTCAGTGCAGTCTGGTCAGAGAAATGTTCTTGTTTCCAGTGTTATCAAATCTTGTGTCTATCTAAGTTAATAAAAAAATTATTTGAGTTCAATGAAAAAAAAAAAAACAGAGGCCTCTTATTTCTGGTGTGGTGCCCCCTTGGAGGAGAGGGGCTGTTGGTGAGCTCACCCCACTCTGGTGGCCAGAAGCTGGGGGAGGGGAGCATCCTGAGGGCTATAATCGGGTGGGGTCATGGCAGGAAACAAATGAATGTTATACTTCATATTAATAGAACAAAGGGGTAATACATAATCATTCCAAAAGATTTAGAAAATGGATTAGGTGAAATTCAATACCCATTCATGATTTTAAAATCTTTTAACAACATTGGAATTGTTAGGAACTCATTCTCCTGGCCAATAGTCTATAAAAAACCTCAGTGTACATAATATTTAATGGTAAAAGAATGTTCCTAATATTGGGAACAATTCATGGTGTCTACTATTGCCATTTCTATTCATCATTGTACTGGAAGCTTGAGCAAATGGAATAAGCCCCCTACCCTAACAAAATAAATCCATCCTGATTGGAAAGGAAAAAATAAAGCTTTATTTATTCACAGATCATCCTGTATGGAGAAAATATCAAGTAAAGCACAGACAAAAAAGCTACTAGACCCGTAAACAAATTTAGCAAGGCCAACAGGACACAATATCAACATCAAAATATCAATTATACTTATACATACTAGCACCAAAAATTCCAAAAATGAAATTAAGAAAGCAAATGGATACACAATAGCCTTCAAAAGAATAAAACATTAGGGATAAATCCCATAAAATATGAATAAGACCTGCAAACTAAAAATTACTAAAAAATTATAAGACATAGCTGAGAAAATTTAAACTTAATAAAGATAGTTCATGGATTGGGAGACTCAGTATGGCAACCTTCCCCAAGTTTATTTGTAGATTGAGCTCAATATCTACCAAAATCTCAGCTGAATTTCCTGTAGAAAATGGCAAGCTGATCTTAAAATGTATGCAGAATATACATTTATATCACCTTAAACAGCCAAAACATTTTGAAAAAGGAAAACAGAGTTGAAGGATTTATCATACCTATTTCAGAAGTCATAAAGCCACAGTAATCAAAACAGTATGAATCTTGTACAAAGATAGTCATGTAGATCAGTGGAACAGATTGAGAAAGTATGAACAAATCCTTAAATTTATGATGAAATGGGTCTTCTATAATGGCAAAATACACATAACAAATGTTGCCATTTTAACCATTTTAAAGTATAGAATTCAGTAGCATGAAGAACATCCCCAATGTGTAACCATCACCATTATATAATTCTAGAACATTTCCATCACCACAGATGAGAACACCATGTGCATTAAGTGTCAGTCTTCATTACCTCCCTACCCCACTCCTTGGCAAATACAAATATGCTTTCTGTCTCTATGTATATGCTTTTTATGGGTATTTCATACAAATGGAATAATATGATATGTAACCTTTTATGCCTGGCTTCTTTAACTTGGCATAATATTTTGTAGTTCATTCACATTATTATATGTTCCTTTTAATGGCTAATATTCCATTTAATGGATATACGACATTTTATTTATCCATTCATATGTTCATGGACATTTGTGTTGTTTCTACCTTTTCACCATTGTGAATAGGGTTACTATGGACATGCAAGTACAAGTTTTGTTTAAACACCTGATTTCAATTTTGGGGGTCCACAACTAGGAGTAGAATTGCCGGATCACATGTTAATTCTACGTTTAACTAATTGAAGAACCCACCAAACTCTTTTACATACAGGCTGCACCATTTACAGTCCCACTTAGTAATGTATGATGATTCCACACTTTCTCCAACAGTTGTTATTTTTCTGTTCTAATTTATGGTTATCCTAGTATGTGTGACAGAGAAGGCAATGGCACCCCACTCCAGTACTCTTGCCTGGAAAATCCCATGGACGGAGGAGCCCGGTGGGCTCCAGTCCATGGGGTTGCTAAGAGTCAGACACGACTGAGCGACTTCCCTTTCACTTTTCACTTTCATGCATTGGAGAAGGAAATGGCAACCCACTCCAGTGTTCTTGCCTGGAGAATCCCAGGGACGGGGGAGCCTGGTGGGCTTCTATCTATGGGGTCTCACAGAGTCGGACACGACTGAAGCAACTTAGCAGCAGCAGCAGCAGCAGTATGTGTGAAGCAGTAATTTTCATTTGCATTTCCCTAAGGCTAATGATGTGAAATTGGACTTCCTGGTGGCTCAGACAGTAAAGAATCTGCCTGCAATGCAGGAGACCAGGGTTTGATCCCTAGGTTGGGAAGATCCCCTGGAGAAAGTAATGGCTACCCACTCCAGTATTCTTGCCTGGCGAATTTCATGGACAGAGGAGCCTGGTGGGCTACAGTCCCTGGAATTGCAAAGAGTTGGACATGACTGAGCAACTGACACTTTCAACTTCCAATGATGTGGAACATCTACTCATTTATTTGGTAGCCATTTATATGTTTTCTTTGCAGAAATATTAGTACCTTGGGATAAATTTGACAAAATTTCTGGAAGACCTATATACTGAAAATTACAAAAGGAATTAAATAATACAAACATAAATAAATTGACTGATATATCATGCTCACAGATTTGAACACTCAATATTGCTGGATGTGAGCTCTAGAAAACTGACCTATAGATTCAATGCATTCCCAATGAAGCAACAGTTCAGTTCAGTTCAGTTCAGTCACTCAGTCGTGTCCGACTCTTTGCGAGCCCGTGAATCGCAGCACGCCAGGCCTCCATGTCCATCACCAACTCCCGGAGTTTACTCAAACTCATGCCCATCGAATCAGTGATGCCATCCAGCCATCTCATCCTCTGTTGTCCCCTTCTCCTCCTGCCCCCGATCCCTCCCAGCATCAGGGTCTTTTCCAATGAGTCAACACTTTGCATGAGGTGGCCAAAGTATTGGAGTTTCAGCTTCAGCATCAGTCCTTCCAATGAATATTCAGTGCTGGTTTCCTTCAGGATGGACTGACTGGATCTCCTTGCAGTCCAAGGGACTCTCAAGAGTCTTCTCCAACACCACAGTTCAAAAGCATCACTTCTCCGTCTCTCAGCTTTCTTCACAGTCCAACTCTCACATCCATACATGACTACTGGAAAATCCATAGCCTTGACCAGGCGGACCTTTGTTGGCAAAGTAATGTCTCTGCTTCTTAATATGCTATCTAGGTTGGTCATAACTTTCCTTCCAAGGAGTAAGTGTCTTTTAATTTCATGGCTGCAGTCACTATCTGCAGTGATTTTGGAGCCCAAAAAAATAAAGCCTGACACTATTTCCACTGTCTCCCCAGCTATTTCCCATACAGGGATGGGACCAGGTGCCATGATCTTAGTTTTCTGAATGTTGAGCTTTAAGCCAACTTTTTCACTCTCCTCTTTCACTTTCATCAAGAGGCTTTTCAGTTCCTCTTCACTCTCTGCCATAAGGGTGGTGTCATCTGCATATCTGAGGTTATTGATATTTCTCCCAGCAATCTTGATTCCAGCTTGTGCTTCTTCCAGCCCAGCATTTCTCATGATGTACTCTGCATATAAGTTAAATAAGCAGGGTGACAATATACAGCCTTGACGTACTCCTTTTCCTATTTGGAACCAGTCTGTTGTTCCATGTCCAGTTGTAACTGTTGCTTCCTGACCTGCATACAGGTTTCTCAAGAGGCAGGTCACAGGACTTTTAAGATAAATTGACAAAGTGATTCTACCTTGCCATAGAAATACAAAAGACTAAGGAGAGCCAAAATTTTTGAAAAAGAACAAAGATGCAGGATTTATACTACTTCATTTCAAAACTTGGTATAGATCAACAATAATCCAGTGTGATCTTGGTATAAAGATAGCTTTATAGATCAATGGAACAGAACAGAGAGTTCACAATATACTCAAAACTATATGGACGATTGCCTTTTTAAAAAATTAATTTATTTATTTTAATTGGAGGCTAATTACTTTATGAAGTGGATGAAACTGGAGCCTATTATACAGAGTGAAGTAAGTCAGAAAGACGATTGCCTTTTGACTGAAATGTAAATTCAGTACCACAGAGAAAAATAACATTTTCAGCAAAATACTGGAAACATTGGAAAAGCACATCTTTAAAATAAAAAAACTCACATAACATACAAAAATTAATTAGATATCATGACATGCATATGAGAAAAAGCCAAAATACATGCCACCTGCAAAGTACTGCAGTTCTTTGTCCCACTTTGGGTTGCCTGTTCTTATAATAAAAAGATTCTATCACCCTGGGAATCACAG